TAGCAGATTGATGTATATGAAATTTGTAATACAAGGTATTATACGGATTCAATACGACAATTTTACTAGCTGGTTAGAGAGCAATGTCCATTATAGAGGCGAGTTCTCGAAATGTCTATAAAATATTAGACCAGTATGTATAAGTTTGTTAGATTTTGTTTATATAACTTTAGTTGTCTACGATATAAATAAAGGCAACATCACTTATATTTCTAACCACTATTTGATAAAATCTAATAAAAAATCATAGTATAGTTGTAGAATAGGCATCATTAGAATCATGTAAAATCCTTGTGCTATGTGATTATTCTTGTCTCTTTATTTTATTTTTTCTTATATTTGTTTCTTAAAAGTAATTACATTATAAGTATATTAATTTTAAATATTTTCTTAATGGAGTGTATGTTTTAATTTTTTTGTTTGAATATATTATTTTTTAAAATTATCAATCGAGTATTTTTATTTAAATTTTGTAAATTATATTATCTAATGATGTGTCATTTGTCATAAATTATTGACTTATAATTTTACCGTTTCATTTTTGGAGGAAACTTTCATTTCCAATTTTTTTTTCTTTTCAATCTTTTGGAAATAAAGACAATTTGAATATTTGTTATACAAGGAAAAGAGAAAAAGAAAAAATAATTTGAAAAGAAAGCTTCCCTCCAAAAATAAACAATCATAATCATAATTTAGGTCAAATGACCCGTTATTGGATAATAAAAGAAATTGAACAAAAATATTTAATTAATAATTTTAAAAAAATTAATATATTTAAATAAAAAAATTTAAAATTCATAGAGTCGATTGAAAAAATCTTAAAACTTAATATATTTATAATGCATTTATGTCACTTTCAAATAGTTGACATTTTAATTTCATATCATTCAGTTATGATCATCGAAAAACCTTAACTATAATGTTTTGGTCATAAATAATAATAATTAGCACTCATATATCCATTTCCTTGAACATGTATCAGTTATCTAATATGTAGAACGAAATTGATTATAATTTTTCTGTATTTTCTTTAATAAATAAATTAAAACATCTGCGTATCTCTGAACTTTGTCCATTTCAGTGGATGCTGGACCTCACGAATTCTGAATCTGATCCCCGCCTAATTGAATTTTGGTAGCATCCACTATTTTAAGCGGCACCTTTGAGAAATAAAAAAACGTGGAGATTTTGGAACGCTTTTCCACGTGTACGATCCATCTAAAAAGAAAATCTTCCAAGTAACAGTCATAAGAATCCTACGTCCACTTCTTTCCCCCTTCCATCCCATTATTAAATCAGCCGACAAAAAGGTTGCAAGGGAAATAGTAAAGAAAACAGTAAGTAGACAAAGAAATTTTATAATATATTATAATTAACCAATAACATGTAAAATAGTTATTTAATAACTCATTTTAAGGAGAGAGATAAATATAAAAAAAGAAAAATTATATTCATACTCATCAAAAGCGATAAGAAAATTTTCACTTTCGTTCGAATTTTTTTTAATTTTTTTTTATGTCTATCTCTCTCCTTAAAATAAAATCATAAAGTAATCACTACATATATCACTATTATTTCTGATGTATTAAAAAATTTCTCTAGATAGACATTTAAAAAATGTATAAAAAATCTTTCGGGACACAAACTTTGGATAAAACTTAAATCCTAAAAAGATGTGACTGGAAACGTTCAAAATATTTATCAACTTTACTTTAAAAAAGAAGAAGAAATGACTGCGTAAGGAAAATGAAAAATGACTCTGTCAATATAATACAGCGATTTTTGGTCCTCTGCCAGATAAATCAGAAAAACTAATACTAAATGGTAAACGCAAGCAAAGAATTTGTCAAAAAAGTAGATCCATCCATGTAAATAGTTGAAATTATAGAAGAGAGATTCATATAGTAATGAGTACGTGTTCTTTTGGCTCTCTGTGGTACCGGTAGACCTACATAGAGTGGTTAAAAGGACCCTCCTGCAAGAATGTAGGGTAGTTATAGGAGCCCCACGTTATGAATGACACCACAGATAATGCAGGTAGAAACTACAGTGTCTAAGTCTAATCCAACATAATTTGCGTTAACAACTCCAAATAATGGCATGAACTATAATGACATTAAAATTATTGCGTTGCCTTAGTAATGATGTAGGAGCATCAAATATCATAGTGGACGCCGTCAAATTATGGATCTCTTTCCAAAGCCAAAACGACTCATCCCCTGATTCATTTGTTTTTCAATTAATTTAACTAAGTCTATTTTTTATTTTGATAAACGATATTGGTTGTTCGAAGGAGAGCTTTCTAAACAATCTAGAATGCATTTGATACTATAATTAAGTTGGTAGTTGGAAATTATATATAAAAAAGAATTTAATAATTTCTTTTTTTTTCTTTTTTCCTCCCCAAAAGCAATCTAAGATTACTAAACACACAGTTAATTAACACCAACAAAAGTTGCATAGATAATTGAAGCTACACAAGATGCATTAAAGTTTAAACAAATTAATTATAACTTATTCATTATAACTTATCAAAATTAATCAATTAATTACTGCACTGTTAAAATAATTAATAATCTCTTGGTGAACTTTGAATATGTTTTATTGCGTACTATTTTGTTTCAAAACATACTTTATTTTCTCATGAAACTTTTTTGTTTTTATCTCTGTTTTCAGCTTTTTATTTCTCTAAAAAAATATGAAATGTACGAAAAATTTGAATTATAAATATATTTAAAAATATATGAATTAAATATATAGCTTTTAAAATTACAAAAACTTATTAAGTAGTATGTTAAACTAGGAGACTAAGTTATAATTAATTTAAGCTTACGGTCCTAGAAAGTATAACACATTTATAAAGATACGTGAAATAAAAGGATAATATATGCCAAAATCCTTGATCTAATGGTTATAATGCAAATAGTACGTATCTAATTTATTTAGCATAAATAGTCATTAAGAAAAACTAACAGAAAAATTAATCCTTTCGTTAAAATAAATTATACTTATGTTTGAATAGAAGTTATTATTTGTCAAATAATTAGCACGTAACATTAAATAACTTAAATATAAATAATTCACACAAGAGTTTTTGTGTCACATATCAGTCACATAAAAATTTAAAAAATTAATTTAATATAATAGAATAACTAATTTTTATTCTTAATTTTCTTTAAAAACTATAATCATAAAAATATGAGCACTTAATAAGTTAAATACGAACTATCTATAATTTCACCAATACTTCATCGGGCTTTTACACATTTTACCAACCCTCGTTGAGGAACCTACTGTTCGGGGTCCCAGCCGTAGGTCACTTGCAAATGCCTAACCTATCTCTCGATGGTGCTAATTGTACCTGCTCAAAAGCCACGTGTGTATTTAACAGATGACCAAAGTCGACAGTTGACGTTACCAATAGCTTCTCGACTACTGTCATTATCAAGATAAAAGCCAATGTCCTACGGGGCCCCACACAAATCTCATCCTGCCACATCAAACCTTAATACAGACAATCTTCACCGAATCATAAAGGGCAATTGAAAGTAAACTAATCGTTAGTTTTTACTCTAACGTCCTTGCTAAATTTGTTCCCACCCAAACCAAATCGGCAACTGGGCTTCCTTTAAATTGGAAACACTAGGTCCGTTCAACCAAACTTTCTTTGCCCGTTCCTGGATGGTCAGCCTCTAGGTAATTGTAGCAGTACTAATTAGGCATGGTAATTGATCAGACCCAGGCCGGTAACTTTTGTGAAGCAATAATTCGTCAGTCTCTTAAACCAGTGGCTTGGATCGAATGATTCTGTTTTTATAAGAATTCAAGAAAATATTAATTTATGAATTTACACAACTGTTCAGATATTAAGATGCAGCTGAAAGACGTATATATTTTGAACATATATACATAATTTATAAAAAAATATGTAAATACTTACCCATAACTCAGACATACAATTATGGCAATCACGTGTGTTATTGGATGGTCAAGCTTTGGAAACTTTGTGACTAAATAATTTGCCTCTCACTTTTCTTTTTTTTTTTTTTGAAAAAAAAAACTCCATTCTTATTGATGAAGTTTAGTGTTTCAGATTTGTGCAAGCAAGGGTTTTATTACAGACCTCACAAATTTATATAAAACATATATCCAGGGGGTGGCCCAATGGACTAGAAGAGCACAATTTGTCTGCAGTCTAATGACCTCAATTTTACTAAGCGTAGTTTGCTTTTGTTCTCAACTAAAAGCAAGGTCAGAACAGAACACCATAACGAGCAGTCATTTACGCCATCCAACCCAAGACTTCAACCACGTTCACATATAAATAATAAATATCTCAACTTTCACTACCACGTCAATTCATTGAAACAAAAAAAAAACCCAAACTTTTACCGCTACAAACAACTTGAGAACCAGCATCTTGTAGCCCAAGTTACTATTAACCTTTTTGGAGCCCATATAGCTAATAATTACGGGCCATTTCTAAAATGACACTCGATGCCCAATTGTGTAAGCAGCTTGTCGGTTATAGGAACTCAATTTGGACACGCTCCCTCTTCCTTATCTAATCGAAACACCGACATGTTGTTCCATAGAACCTCAATTTATCAGTCAAATGTAAGGTGTGAACGAATATTGAGATCGGCTTCTGTATTTAATTTTTGGTATCACACCTCTTTAAAAGAAAAACGAAAAAGAAAAAATTAATGTTCCAAAATTCACGAGCCAAAAATACATAAACCTCCTCCCAAAACAAATATACCGTCATATTTATCATAAAGGTGGTGCTCCTGGTTCTCCGAATGATACAGAAACATTCTAACACTATTTTAATGGCGGCCGAGTAAGTTTGAATTCTCTCCTTCATATATAACCCCCTTCCCTTCACTACAACCTCAAAAAAGGTTCTCGACAAAAAACAAATTCAAGAAACAAACCCCAAAAAAGAAAAGAAAAAACTCGGCTTGATCATTTGTACCCTGCTCTTTCATTCGAGTTACATGTGCATATTGAAGGTGGCGAACCAAAGAGGAGACTCAGGGGAGTACACGAGGTACCTTGCAACAGATAGCGATGATAACCAAGAAGAGAGATCATACACAGCACAACAAATATTTTCTGAATCGATTCAACCAATACAGCAGCGTGTGGAGGTAACACAATCACCACATATGTTGATGGGGTATAGCCGTTCAACAGAGATGTCTGCAATGGTATCAGCACTTACACATGTGGTATCAGGCCAAGGAGGAAGTGCTAGTGATTGGGGATCGTATGGGGCTGCAGGTCTTGGAGGTGCAACAATAACATCAACTTTTGGTCAGGCAGCGCCTGGTTCTAATGCTGCTTCAGCTTCTCCACCTTTGTCTGCTTATTCTTCTACTTCTGGTTCTGGTTCTGCTTTGTGGATTGGCCAGAAGAGAAGGAGAGAAGAAGAGGCCGGTGCAGCAGCTCAATTGATGGAGTCTTTGCCTAGGGTTTATAGAGGGTTTAATGATTTTAGAAGTTCACAAGGAGATTCATCATCATCTGGTGCAACAGGTAAATTTTATCATCAAGATCGTTAATTTTACCCTAATTTTTCTCCCCTGCCATTCCTATCTCAATTCTTTTCAAAACTCCATTATTTTATTTGAGTTATGGTGCTTGGTCAATAATTCATTTTCAATGTTTTTGATTTTGTGTAGTCTTGATTGTTTAAATTTTTATTATATATTATAAAGTCCTTTTTGTACAATATTTCTTGTAGAAATTATTAAATATCTAAATATTATCTAATATATCTATTATTGCATGTATTTGAAGGTTTCATTGTCACCTTCCTCAAAATCCTTAATTTTGTCGTTTTTTGAAAAAACATAATTTGCATTCATCTAGAAACGAGCAACACATGGAATAACAATAACAATGCGTCATAGACTTGGAAGAGAATTCAGCATCTCCATCACTTAGTTTTGAAGCAATAATATTACACATCACAAATTAAAAATAAAAATAAAAATAAAAATCGCTTTCTTAGTCCACAATGTTTCCCTTCCTTTTCCATTTGCAGCAACTGAAGGGTCTGCTTCAACTTTAGTATTCCCCACTACAACCACACCCTCCACTACAGCAACAACATCAAGTGAAACAGCATCCTTGGAAGAAACTGGAGAGCAAAGAAGAAGATACAGAGGAGTTAGGCAGAGGCCATGGGGAAAATGGGCAGCAGAGATACGTGATCCACACAAGGCTGCAAGAGTCTGGTTAGGCACATTTGACACTGCAGAGGCTGCAGCTAGAGCCTATGATGATGCTGCTTTAAGATTCAGAGGAAATAGAGCTAAACTTAACTTCCCTGAAAATGTTCGACTGGTGCCAGCTCAAATGCAAAATGTTACTGGTTCTCAAGTTCCCATTTCTCGTTCACAATTATCTTCTCATCACCAGCTACAGTCTATCTCATCTCCAAGGCAACAAGCACAGCGGCCGCAGGCGCCAGCACCTGCATTGTTTCAGTCTCAAGCTGATATTATAAGAGACTACTGGGAGTACTCTCAGTTGTTGCAGAGTTCTGGAGACTTTCATGGACAACAACAGCAGCAGCAGCAGCAGCCTCCTTCAAATTTGTTAGATCAGATGTTTTATAATCCCCGTTTGGCTTCTCTACAATCATCAACTTTGTCTTCGTTCTCTTCATTAACTTCGTCGACTTCAGGTTCTTCATTTGCAGCACCATCTTCTGGTTCATTACCATCAACATTTTCTCCCTCTGCTTCTTCGTTTCCTCTGCTTTTTGCTGGTCAGCAGTTGGGTTATTTTCGGCCACCGCAAAATCAGAATCCAGCTACTGGTTCCGATTTTCCGGTGCCCCCATGGACAGATTCTAGTAGCCATCCTTCGTCTACTGGCTAGATTGATTCCACAATTTATTTTGTTCCTTTGTTTTCTTTTTAATTTTTTGTGAAATTTACAAATATTTTATATTGTTATTAGTTTCATATATTCATTTACCATTTTGTATTTGCAAGTCAACTTTTCTTTAGTACAATTGATCCAAAGAAAGGAAGAGAGGAAAAAAGAAACGTGACCATGTAGGAATTTAGGCATAGTTTGTTCTCAAAGATTTGATGTTTACAATTTGTCCATTACGAATGATGTAGAAATGGAACAGAGCTTTCTGCTACATGCTTTACAATCAAATCCTCTATTAAAGAAAGGCCTTTCTTTAATTATTCTTATTATTTTATCTAATACAGTATCTCTATGATTATCTTTTGGGGTTACCAGCTTTAATCTATTCTTTCTAATGCTCTTTACCATTATGCCCCATTCCAGTGGGCACTATAATACTGTGTTCTCCGTCGCTCGTAAGGACAGTAAATTAGACCTAAACCCACCATATTTGAAGGGGTCTGCATGTCAGAGTGGATGGTATTTGAATTTTCCGTTTTTTCTATAACTGGAAGTGGAATTTAGGTGCATCAGTCAAACTTTTGTTATTTATGCAATTCCATCTCTCATTTTGTGTTTAAGTCGTCTTGGTCATAACTCCTAACAGAAGTCATATAATTATGAACTTTGTTTATGAGATCGAGGGGAGGAAGTATGTGTTTATTTGTCGTATAATAGGTATTTTTAGTACGGATAACATTCAAATTCCCTGTACGTTTCTTCTGATTGTTCAACGCAGTATATTTAATAAAGATGGTAATTAGGTTTTATTTATCCTTTCTCCTTCTGGCTCTCTTGGCTTCATAGAAGGGAAGAACAATAGTTGAACCGGCTAGCTCGTCAAGAATCGAACCTTCCTCGTTCCGTTGTTTTTGGATGCAGTAATTTCTCTGTAGCTTAATTTAAATATGCGGCTCTCTTTCTCTGGATCTATGCATGCGCACGCGTGTGCATATGTTTGTGATGATGATTCAATTGGTCATGATGAGTTACGAGAGTAAAATTAGAAAATATAATCATTGCTTCCCACCCCACCCCGGCGCGTCATTTCTTATTCCTAAATTGCATCTTTCTTCGCGGGATTTAATAAAAACTCATCCAGATAGTAGGAAGAGGATGTTTGATATCATTTTTAATTTCTGATTTTTATTTTCAAGAATGTAAAAAACCTCTTATGCATTGTCAATTTTTTTAAACCAAACAAAATATTTTAAAACCTTGTGAGAGTTGTTGTTGGTTTTGCTTCTTCTTTTTTTCAATAAAAAATCTGAAACAAAAAAAAATCACTATTTCTGTTCCTTTAAATTTTAAAAATGAAAATGAAAAACCACAAACGATACCATACAAATCCCTAAATTTTTATTGTTGGAAGCGATCCAGTGTTAACCAGAATGATACTTTTTGAATCAGATTTTTCTGGTCACGTTCTATTTTACAATCTACAATTTAAATTAAACAAATTCATTGAATTTTGAAAATGCTTGTCCAATCCATTTAATAAAACATGTGTCCTGCAGTTATTGGTGTGCCGGAAACCATGTCTTTTTGAAAGACAAAAAACGTGCTATTTTTTTTTATATGTCTGTTCAAACTTCTTTGTTCGTAGTTCCTTCAATTTCTTAAAAATGCTCAAAGACAACATCGCTGTATCTCTTGTTCAAGCTGCCCCACTTGTCCAGAGGATCTTTTACAACAACAAGGGCATAAAAGATATTACCTTTAACCATAAATTAAAACATTGTTTTTATTCCTTGACAGAAATTATATAATTCTAGTAGAAACAACGTACCCAATTGTCGTTTGTTTTTAGTTCAACTAGATGAAAGCAAATGGATGATGTCCGATACTGATATTTTCTTAATGTCTAGATGGAGTTTACCAGAAACGCACTAGGACAATAATTTAATGTGTTCGTGGCACTTCATTGAACTGACAAAACTACTTAGCACCGTTGAAAACAATTTAAAATACATTTCGTACCTAAAATTAGAAATCAAGAGAACAAAAAAGAGGACTCTTATCTTATTTAATTGTATTTATAGCAGCAATGTCCCATGAAGCAGCTTTTGCGTACAGCAATATTTGCTTTTAGTGGATATATAACCAGGTTTGCAAATTGGGCAATTTGCGGACCAGCATGTCAGACCAACAAATTTAGTGAATTTGACAAGGAGATTGATTTTTTTTAGTCCTATATTAATCAACATAGCAATCACTAAATTGAGCTATGAACTTAAGGATTAACTTCATGGTTAAAAATGTTTTATATTCTTTTTTAATTTTCTAAATTATATCTACATTTATAAAAATATAAAGAATATTCTTACAATACCACTCCATATGTTTTTATCTTTTAGAAATTGAATTTAATATATCTATATATATTTAATTGTATTCAATCTATCTTTTAAAAAATTATTTGATCTTCAATTATCGTCATCAAAACTATCCAAAATACATCATATAAGTTATATGATTAAGTTTACATTTTGTATATCCAAAATACTCCTCGTTAAGATATAAAGAGTAAAAGAAATTGCACGCCTAAGGTATTCCACGCATGGCAAGTTTTTTGAAAAAAATAAAAAATTGGCATTTCCCTTTTCAAAAAAAAAATTTATTTAATGACGGGTATTTTAATAATTTAAAATCCAAACTTGGTCATGTATAAATCACACAATATACTTCCCTTATTTTTAAGATGAAAATATGACAGATGATATATTTAAAACACAATAATTTTTTAAAAAAACAGATTAAATGCAATTAATCATATAACGATAGAATGGATATAAATCCAAAAATATAAGGAAATGTGGAACCATTTTATTCAAGAAAAAAATAGTTTCAATTGATCCTTAAATTGATTCAAAAATATTAATTATTGTAAAAAAATCACAATAAATTTAGTTATTTGTTGATTGCGACGTTCAAAAATCCACCACTATAAATCTTATGGCCTAAAAATAGTAGTATAAAACCTGTATCTTGATATTACCGACATGAAATGTTATTAAAATTAAAATACTATTATAGTGAATAAATTGTACACTTCCACTGATATTAACACCTCTTTCATTCAAAAAAAATAAAAAAATCTTGAATTAGAATATCTATTTTATAAATAATAATAATAGCAATAACAATAATGACATATGACTAGTTACTTTATAAACGGGATTGCTCATTTACTTGTAGTTGAAGCTTACGTCTCGAACCATTTTGTATTAGGTTTGTCGCTTTCTTCTCTCTGGGATGCCTGTTTTTAAAATGGATGAGATCACGGAGCACGTGGTTGCACACGGGACAGGAGGTCCACGGATGAAAAGGATCAGGTCAAAAATTTAAGGCGGGACCCAAAAGCCACGTGTAACACAGCTAGCATAGAATTGGAGGTATAAAGCGAATTGGAGGTATAAAGCGAGTATGAATCAACTGACATAGTGATGCGTGAAGGAGAGGAGTAGACGTGTGTAGCTTGGTCACCGTGAAAATTTGCTAACCAACGACACAATTTGGACACGTACTAGATTTGGTCTTCGCTTCTTCGAGAATTTCTGTCAAAGTAAAGTTTCTTGTTGAGGTTTAAAATAATTGTCCTGACATAAAGATGAAAAAAAAAATGAATATAGTCGGTTTTTTCGAGGGGGTGAATGGTTGTTTACCTAACCAAATATTCTGTAATGAGAATGGAGACGTGGAGGGTTTATTTATTTATTTATTTACGCTCATGTATTATTAGTGAGTAGTTATTATTGTTAGAAGAGATAAAAATCTCACCGTAACACCAATTGACAGAGTATTAATCTGACCACCATAGTAAATGAGCAGTTAATTTTGCCCCCTTTTTTTTTTTTTTTTTTTTTGCATTGAGTGTAATGTTAGAAATCAAACCTGTAACTTTTTGATTATTACCAAAAATCTACTATCCTTTGTTCCAGAAACACATTGGTTGTTTTTATGATTTTATTTACTTGGGAGTCAATTTTGATATTTGCGATTACCTATTTTATTTCATCATAATTATATCATGAGGCTTACTATAGTGTTCATTTTACGGTTGTTCTTTTTTCAATAATAATCGAATTTATATGTCAATTTATACGTTAATTGAGATTAATTTTATTTAATGACTTTAAGACGCATATTTTATATTGGTACGGTGTATTTGAAATTTTTTTTCAAATACTAATCCAAAGTTTGTGAAAAAAACACAAATCTCCTTACCTACAAAACTAATACCTTGAAATTCATTTTAAGGTAATTGGTAATGTTAAACTATAGGAGTATTAAAATATTATATTAGTTTGATTTAATCTGGTAATTGATGTTGAGAAATTACTAGTTGATTCTTAATTTCATATTGTATCACTATTTATTGGCCGCACAAATTTCTATTTAAAGCTATATAAGTTTTTTCAATTGATATATATAATAATATGAGATGGAGTCCCTTATGATTGCTCGTTCTCTTGTTTATCATTCCTTAACAGGGAAGATGAAGTTTTACGAGGACGATCCAGAATCCAGGTGCAATTAATCGAGGCCTTGATCCAATAAGCAATTGCAACAGTACCAGCTAAGGTTCCAAACGTGGGGTTGTGATAATCAGCCTAGTAAAAAAAAAAAAAAAAAATTAAGCCCAGCCAAAATTGGCAGAAAATATAGCAGGATGGTAAAATTAAATACGAAACATCCATTGCAGAGACCAGGGTTTTTTAGATTCGATAATTTGGTATGGACAAATGGACATATAAAAGAGATTTTCAATTATCATTGTCAGGGCTGTATCTTAAACACCATAATGTAGAGGTCTAAGCTAGAATTTTAAATTTTTTAACAAATACGACAACAAAATGAATTTGTGATCCATGAACAAAATCACGTTAGTATCTATAAAATCAGGACTATCTCAAGGGTTTGGTTTATGTCAGATTAATGTGGGACATTCGGTCAGTAGCCAAGGCAAAAAACGAACGTCAAGTAGTAAGTTAGGTGTGTTAGCTTATGCTATATATTTAAGAAACTGACAGCAACCCAATAGAGTTTACAGGTCGGTTGAACTAAAACACTGAAGATGAGGCCAGAATTGGATTTCTTTCTAAAGGAAGTGACTCGAGCCAAACTTTGGTTGACGAGGAAAGGTTGCTAATAATGAAAAAAAGAAGAAGTGATCTTTATATTGCTTTTGTGAAAATGAACGGTTCCAAACTTGACCTTAATTAGGTCTTCTCCTCAATGTTAGAGACCAAACACATAGTTATTGAAGTTTGAAAACCGTACGAGGGTCCGATCGTCTTGTCTCGGGCGTCTTGTCTCTGGAAAGTCTGACAATTTCAAGTAATGAGAAATCTGATTACACGTCAATGGACAAAAACTCTTATCATTTATAAAAGACTTCTTACCCAGCAATTTTCTTTCTACAAGTAACAGAGTTGCCAATGAAAAGTGCTCGATGAGGAGTATTGTCCTGTCTAATGGATGCAATATCGCTGATTTGATTTAACAGAATTTGTGTGTGTTCCGTTTGGTTTAGTTAAAAACCAACAGCTATTTTCATCTTTCAATCCTTTCCATACAAAGTGGAACAACTTGAAACTGTATTTTTTCCTTTTTTGTTGAAAAATAATCAATTTTCATTAACTGACTAGACCATGTTGTCTCGCTAGTAGCCGCACCTCCTGTCACTTCTTTGCAGCCATACCAATGTAGCTCCTTTCCAAATTGCAGCCGTAAAGGAGGAGAAAACCTACATGGTCCAACAGGTGAAGAAGCCACGGAGAAATATAAAGCCAAAACCCAGATGAAGCCCAAAGATAGCCTGAAATAATGCTACGCCCATTTTTCGTAGAAATATACGTTGCCCTGTAAGGCATACAAAGTTATAGGAGAGAAAGTTTGTGGTAGAAATAACCGAAAAAGATGTTGAGATGTTAAAGATGAAGATTATTTTGGTTTGTGTATAACTTGCATGCTGATTTAAGAGATAAAAAAATCTTACCGTAGTCATTTGTTTAAGTACAGAGTGCAAGGATGAATAAAAGTACCTAAACATTGGTTAAAAATTTCTAGATTAACAAGGAAAAGAAATAACTTCTGAAAATTTTCTTACTGTATACAAAAGCTCATACATCTTTTTTCTTCTCGTATAACCTATGTATAGACAAATCACGGTAGAGAAGAATGCATAGTTTTCTCAAATGAGATTGAAACCCAGTTGCCCAAAGCAAGCAAACTACGTGCGTACAGAAGACATTAATATTATCGCAAAATCTTCAAACGAAGAATTACTTTTGAAGGTTTTCCAGGGCTTGTGCAGCCGCATTGGCAACATCATAGAAATTCTTCCAATTCTGAATTGCAGTAGGAATTGATTTTATAATAACCTTATCCATGGACAATTTAGTTTAACAACTTCGAACACTATCAAGAGCATAATTCACATCCATGGTTGCAAAATCTCCTTCAAGCACCTTGAGGCTCATAGTTCCTGAAGCCATCTTAAAATCAGATGCACATTCCTTGAGGGCTGGCTTAAATGCAGACGCTGTGCCTTTGTCGTCGGCCATTCCATCAAAGAACTTGCTTGTCTTCATGGATTCTTTTCTTACAATGTCCATGGCATTCACTACAATGCCCTTTGTATTGGGTGCCAACAATGTTAGAGGATTGGACATCAGAATTCTCAGGCAGAAGTTATAGTTACGGCTAGGCTTGCAAACCCGACTCAGTAATTGCGGACATTTGGCAGGAGACTTGAGACCTCTAGCCTCGGTTTGAGAAGGAAAATGTAGGAGGAGATACAATAAAATGGTAGCAAAATCAAAGTCCGACTGTTAGAACCCATTTGTTGAAAGAACAAGAGAGTCGTAGTCGTAACGGTGTTTGATTGCTGGCTAATTTATGGATCAAAACAAGTTTAATTTTAGAGTCGAACAGTTTCCAGAACAGTTGCCAAACAGTTCATATCAAAAGAAAAATTCTAGCTGTTTATTTTCATTGAAAAACATCTCTGGCATGCCAATTATGGGGATTGGGATCCTCTCATGTTCTGTTATTTTTTTTACATCCCCATCATAATGATCTCTTATGTTACGCTGGAGAAGTTAGAGTTGATGGAGATTATGTGCTGTCATTTGCTATCAATATTAGCTCGTATGGTAATACCTCCACAGGCAACAAACAGAAGGAGCTGAACTGCTGGTTCATTAATCAAGTGTGTCTAGTGGATTATTTTCTGCAAAGAAAAATGTTTGAATACATCTTCAAGCTCACCATAAGCACTTCTGAAACTTCCACCTATTGCTTCGTAGCTAGTAAGTCATGGTTTCAAAGCAGGGTTGATCGATGGGTTGGTGGTTTTGCTGCTGAGCACATTATCAAACTGACCATGCATGCATATACGTGGAGTTTTTTATTGCTAATTGCAGGGCGATATTTAGCGACGATCATGACATAATTAGATGCAGTTGTTGATCGGATGTTAGTACCATTTCTACAAGAAATTAGAGATGAAACTTGAATTTGAGATTTCGTACTCGTTTTCATCACCCAATAGTTCATTCCAACTGCATCCGTCTAAAGGATTAGTTATTTTGTAATAGAGCTAGGTTGGAATAAAATTAACTTGTCATGTCGACAAATAATATGAGGACACCAAGATCTATTAGTTCTTAATAACACAGTTATATCTCTCAAAATTGATAAATTTGTTCTTTTTTGCTACTAATGTTTTATTATTGTTTAATATATTTATTATTATTGTTGTTGAGCCTTTAAATTTTCCCAGCAGCAGAACGCAAAATAACGCATCAAAATCTTCCGTATAAAATTTCCTCGACAGGATGAGAACTCTAGTAAAGTAGACACTGCATCCCCCAGCGAGAATCAGACACAGCAATTATGCGTGCCAAACTGGACCTCTACGCTCAAGAATTTTAAGAAGGCTCCTGCTTTGATTCATAATTGTATTAGGGCCGATCTTGTTGAAGCAGGCCAGCATAGGTGAATGGAGTAGGTTTTTTATTTTTTGGGTCTTTGGGCCTTCTGAAGCAAACCCAACAAAAAAAGAAAACTGATTAACGTGTTCCCTAGTAAGGCGGAATAGCCCAGAGCAAGTCCACGTGACAGATATGGTACAAAAGGATCAAATATCCAAATCAGCTATTCACCTAATAATCTCTCGAATTCCTAATTCAAGTTTTGTCCTGGATAGAAGTAGAAGCACTCGTCCTGAAGTTACATTAACTATCAAAAAAATAATATAAAATTATTTTTAAAATTCATTAATTTAAATTTTTGAATTAAAATAATTTTTTAATATGATATCATAATATTGATGATTTAGTAATTATGAATTTAAATCCTATCATTTTTATTATTTTTTAATTTAAACACCAAATTCAAATCGTTTTACTTTTGTTTCCTAATTAAGTAAAAAATAACAGTGGTCTGCTAAATTATCAATCTTCACCAATGCGAGTAAAATTTAAAATGAAATCTATATTAATTGGTCATAGACTAAAGAAGAATTGGAAATTCTTTTGTATAAGGACATGTTTGATACTATATAATGTAATATGGTGAATAATGGAATGGAATGGAATCGTCCAGGTTGTAAACTTTATTTTTAGGTGATGTAATGGAGAGAATTTTTATAAATTTTAGTCCCTTATTTTTGGAAAATTTACTTTTTCTTTATATTTTGTTGCAGACAGACTTAATATGATTGGGATGTGTAATAAAGATTTTTCTAAATTGAGGTTATTTATAGCCATAGCAGGAGTCAAATTTCGAAAAAGAAGTTATGATGATCGGATGGTTGATTGGAGGATAGGAACGCGATCCTATTTTATATTTCTTTACCTCAAATACTAATTGCTGGGCTGTATTCAACATCTTTAATTAGTTAATTTCATATTACAAGAAGCTGTATCTCCGTCTCTTCTCTCTGTCATCTGTCCATGTAGTAACTAATAAAACGAATACATTTGAATAACATATTAAAGCTAACCAAATTTTTAAGGAAGTAATTGCTTGAATTAATTCGTAGGTTCGTTTGCAACAGCGGATTTATAAAATTTTCTCAATTGGGTTATTTATTAACTCATAATTAACATTTGAAAAGTAATTTCTAACATTATTTTTTTTATCAAAAATTTAATATTTCAATAAAACTTTTGTATGCAATTATTTGAAAAAATAACGAAAGCTTTTGGAATTATAATAAATAATTTTCGTAATTTTTAAATCTAAATTAGACAAAAAAATGCTTAACATCCTCCATATATATATATATATATATATATATATAAACAATAAGACTAATTCGTAAGAATAATACAATTATATATGGTGTATATTTCTTTAATTTGTACGTCAGTCCATATTAAATTTTCTTTCCTAGCACTAAGAGCGCACCTCCGTTAAGAGAAATTTATTTATTTATTTATTTTTGGATGTTGACTTCAAAATTTGAATTTAAAAAGTTAAGAAATAGAGAATGTTTTCTTAACCATGAGACTTGACTCTTTAGAATTTTACAATATATTTTTCTAACAACTAATAATTAAAAAAGTACAACTTAATATTTGAAACTTTAAATTTTAATTTTAGGGTTGAAGTTGTTATGTCATATTACATCAATAGAATATGCATGGAAAATAAAAAAGAAAAATAAACAATTACTTCTTCGGTATCAAAAAAGAAAAAGAAAACGAAAAGGAAATGAAAATTACTGATGAAGACATGCATTTAATACTGTACGTAATAATTTTATGATTCCACTATATTATATTCTAAAGATGTATATATTATAAAATCGAAATCCCTATTTTTCTCTAACGATTTCCTATTTAAACTCTATTCACTTCTAAATTGACGTGTTTCTACTTTCAAATATCTTTTAGTTTTGTTTTCCTGCTGTATTTGTCTAATACAAGTTTTACATCTTTTCCTAATTTTTTTTACTCGTAATATAATTCTGGTGGGATTAATTTATGTAAAGTATACATGGATTGATGATCTAATTGTCCATCTAACTTTTAATATTTCACCAATAATAGCATATTTATATTCCAAAAAAACTTAACCTCGATTGAGGAACAAGTTATTTTGAAAATATTTTTACTATAAATAAATCTAATATATATATATATCTATACTCATAAGAAATTATTGGGTGAATCCGTAAAGATAGAATCCATTAAAAAAAAAATCCTCTTAATTTAAGCGTTGCATTAATTGTTTCATCATATTTGTGGTTTGCCTTTAGCAAAAGAGATCTGGGTCAATTTTATCTATTAGTTTAAGAATTAATTACAATAATTCCTTTCAAGGTATCATAAGCCTTTTAAGATTTTAAAATTTTGATTAAAAAAATCTTCTTTAAGTTTAAGAAAATATTACAACCACCCGCCCGCCCCCAAATCCTTTTTTTTTTCCCTAGAAAATACCCTTAAGTGATTAAAAAAATAATCTTTAAATTAGAAACCTTCAATTAGAGAAAGAATATAAAAAAATGGATATGTGTTATAAAATAAATAGAAATAATAGGAGAATTGAAGAAAAGGATGACAAGAAAATGAAATCACTATAATATGAATATAAGTGATAAGAACTTCAAAGTTTCTCTTATTCTCTCTAGGAAACTTGTACACCAACTAATGAACAATCAAGCCTATTTATAGGCTTCAAAATTGAGGAGAGAATTAGAAGGGACTATGAATGATCAATTGCATCACCCTTTCAATTTCTCATATTGAATGATGAATTGAATCATATTAAAAATCATGAGTAGTGGGGATATGAAAAGTGGATGAACATGATGATGGACATTCATTATTTCATAACACTCCCCCGAATGTCCATTGTACAAGGAACATGCCTCGTTAAAACCTTACTAGGAAAAAACCCGAGTGGGAAAAAAATCTCAATGAAGGAAAAAGAGTACAATATTCCTTACACACATTAATCTCCATTTTGGTCTCTCCCTATTGAAGGCATTATTTAAGATCTCTAAGACAACGCATTCCAATCTTGTGAATCATCTTCTCAAAAGTTGTGGTAGGTAACACCTTGGTGAACAAATCTGCTAGATTATCACTTTGATGTATTCTTCCTTTAATGGAACTATGCAAGCAACATTATCTTCATATGATATTGTTGGAACTTCTTTTGTCGATAGATAAACCGCATGTCTCTCGGATATGATGGATCGTTGATCTTAGCCAAACACTTTCTTGACTTGCCTCGTGAATTGATATTTACGCATGATTTGAAGATATTGTAGGCTGTGGTTTGCTTCATAAGACGCCAAGATATAGTTGTATCTCCATATGTAAATATATAACCGAGTTGTGATCGAGCTTTGTGTAAATTAGATAAATAACCTACATCCGCATAGTCAATTAATCTTATATTTGATTTATTGGAATAATATAAGCCCATATAAATTATTCCTCGAATATAACGTAGTATATGTTTAACTTTATTTCAATGTCTCTATATTGAAACGTAACTATGACTTGCTAATAAATTTATAGAAAAGACTATAATAGGTCTGGATATTATTAGCAAGATACATCAATGCACCAAGTAGCACTAAAATATGGTACTTCGGGACCAAGTAGTTCTTCGTTATCTTTTCGAGATCAAAAAGGGCCTTTTTGGATATCAAGTGAATGAACTACCATTGGGCTAGTCAATGAATGATCTTTATATAGAATCATTGTAGAACCTTTTTCGATATAAATTGACTAATGAATGAAAATCTCATTTTCCGAGTACTCGAACTACGAGTCGAGATAACATTTTATTTTTCCAAGATATTCACATCAAATTCTCTTTTTAGGTGACTTATAACACTTGGAATCTCTTCGGGAGTTCCAATAATATTTAGGTTATCAACATATAAAACAAACCCCTTTTCAAATAAAAACATATGAACAAATAGGGTTATTTTTTATATAACTTTCTTTCAACAAATAATCATTGAAGTGATTATATCATATGCACACGAGTTAGTAATAAAAAGAAGATATAAAAATAAAATATAAAAAGTATAAATTGAATTTCTAAAAACCAAAATAATAAAACAAATACTAAAATAATCCTAATAGAGATCTCTATAATTTAATTGAATTCTTATCTCGAGAATATGTATCACATGCTTCGGCATGTCAAGTCCTTCTAGGACTTTCATACTTATTTCATTTCAAATGAACAAATAAACCGTGATCACATTCATTAAATGCATGCATATGAATGTTTTTCATATATTTTTTCATGCTAATGAGATAACAATAGACAATTGCATCCACTATAGGAGAATATCTTTCCTCATAGTCAATGTCAATTCTTTATGAAAACTTTTGTGTTAAAAGTTTTGCTTTATATCTTATAATCTCATCTTTCTTATTTCATTTTCTCATAAATACATATTTGTATCCCACTAGCTTAACATCTTCGGGTGTTTTAGCTATGGGTTTAAAAAAACTACTCTTTTATAAGAGAACATAATTCTGCCTAGATTGCTCTTTTCATTTAGGCCAATCATCTTTATGTCGATATTCTTCAATAATTTAGGCTTAGGATCCTTATTTTCATCCATAATATCAATTGCAATATTATATGCAAAAGTCTTATCAATAGATATTTCTTTTCGATCCTATTTTCTCCCCGCATTGATATAATTTATCAAAATCTCTTGATTTTTCTCAAGTATTTGGACTTCTTCCGGAAGCCTATGATCGAAATATATTGGACCATTTTGTAAATATTTTCATCTTGCCCTTTTCTTTTAGGGATTTTTATCTTTAGAACCGATCGGTCTTCCACGCTTCGGCGTGCTTTAAATTCGTTAGCTATAATATTAATAGATTATCCTTCTGGGACATTAATTATAATAGGAGCATTCTCAGCGAGGACATGCATTTTAGTTACTCATTTAATATCCGAGAATGCATTTGGCAGCTTGGTTTCAATATTTTGTATATGAATTATCTTTTGAACTTCTAGTTCACATTATCTTCTACAAGAATCAAGGTGATATAAGATAGAGTACTCCATGTAATCTTTTTTTTTAACATTTTCAACTCGCTTATTTTGCTTATTCTCTCCCCTAATGTTGAAAAAACTATTTCATCAAAATGACGAGTCGATAAATCGAGCTGTAAAAATTTCCTCTTGTTCATGAATCAAGAGATTGAATTATCGAAGAGGATTCATATATTCTCAATCTCTTTTAAGTGCTCATTTTATTTCATTATAGATGAGCACTAAGGATATACACTGTAATGCTAAAAATTCTTAAACAAGAAATAATTGGCTCATGACCATAAATCAATTAAAGAGGAGAGAATTTCGATAACTTATGGGTCATATGCGAATAAGTGTTGTTGCATGTAAGATTGCATGTCCTCAAACATAAACAGAGAGTTTTATTTTTAAATAACGGTTTAGCTATCAATTCGAGCCTTTTGACAAATGATTTTGCTAAACCTTTTTTAGTATGAACATGAGCAACAACATGTTCAACCTTTATTTTAATAGCCAATCAATAATAATTTAATGCTTGAGAAATAAATTCATCAGCATTATCAAGGTGACTTGTTTTAATGGCATAATTTAAAAATTATGCTCGAAATCAAATTATTTGCTAGCAATCTCGAAAACGTCGAGTTTCGAGTAGATAATAAGCATATATATGACCATCTTGTGGATGCATTTATCAAAATCATAAAATATTTAAATGGTCCACATGGTGGATGAATTGATCCACATATATCACCTTGAATACATTCTAAAATACTGGAGATTCAATCTCAATTTTACTTGATGATGGCTTAATCATCAATTTTCCTTGGCAACATGCAAGCACATGAAAGTTCATTAAATTGAAGAATCTTCCGGCTCTTCAATAGATATCCATATGAATTTTTAATAATTTTTTACATCATGAAATACCCAAGATAGCACAACTGGTCATGTCACATAATAAAAGTATTTGAATTAGTAAACTTCGGTTTACTATAATATTTGTTTCAATCATTTCAATGTCCGTAATAAATACTAGAAGAGAAAACATATAATTTTTTTGATAGATATTTTCTACCCGATATAATGATTATAACATATAAGTATTCACATTTGCTATCTTGATATGATATCAAATCAGATGAGTATCTTTGAAACTTAACAAATTTCTATAAGACTTTGAAGAGAATAGTACATCATTCATAATAAATTTATCCTTTCGGATAATAACATATTTGCTCTTCTAGAGCCTTTACATTAGTCACTTGAAGTAATAATATATCGACTCTTCTAGAGCCTTTAAACATTTTCTCTTCAAGTAATAATTTATTCACTCTTCTAGAGTTTCAAAAATTTGTCTCTTCAAGTCATGATATAATCGCTCTTCTAGAGCCTTCAAAATCTATCTCTTTAGATAATAATATAATCGTTCTTCTAGAGCTTTCTATTAGATTGATATTATCATATATAATATTAAAATAAAATAAATAATCAAATAAATCAATAGAAAATAAATAAATCAATATATTCCTCATAAACACAAACAAATAAATAAATAGTAAAATAAATTTGTAACCATTAATATACAACATAAATTATAAGAAATATAAAATATTTTATTTATAAATAGAAAAACTAACAAATAATTAATTTCAATTACTATTACTTTGATATATAAAATTAGCCTCTATATATATATATTTTTTTCAACGAGCTTTGACAAGGCTTGATGAGGTGCTTTGGTGTACGACGAGTACACGACTAATGTCCATTCATACCATATTTATAACATTCATCTTCGGAATATTGACTTTATCTATTTTCATTCTTTTCTTTTTCTTTTTCATAGTTATCCACTTCGATGGTAAGATGTAATATTATAGTCATCACAATTATAATGATAATTATTTTGACAACATCCATGGCTATGACTACATCTTCATCCATGTCTAAAATTATTATAAATTGTCACATTCACTTCAAGGAATGGAATAGATCCAATTGGATGAGATTTATTCTTTTTCATCAATAGCTTTTCATTTTATTTAGCCATGAGCAAATATGAAATTGATTCATAATATTTCTTAAACTCTTTTTCTTGATATGCTATCGCAAAAGCATATTCGAGGCATGAAAAGTAGATGATATTAACTTAGCATCAAGCACTCATGATCAATAATTCTTGCCCAAAATGTCAAGGGTCACAAAATCAAGTTTTGTGATGGTTGATAAGATATCATTAAAATTGTATAATGCAAAGTATAATAATAATGTTAGGAAATAAAGATAAAATATAATAATAAAATTTAAATAAAAATAAATATAATAATAAAATTTGAACTTTTCAAATAATATATATTAAATTATTACATTCTATATATTAAATTATTAAAATTTTTCAAATATATATTCTATGTATCATTAAATTTAAAATACATAATAAATTAGATACATACCTCTTAATGATCTAAATAATAATTTAGATCCAATCGGTAAAGCACTTGTGCAAAAGAAATCCAATGGTTGAAATAATTGATTAAGTGTTTTGGTAGATACATGCCTCATAGTCTATTATCTCGATTGGTTAGAACTTCGTGCCGATAACGTGTTATAAAATAAATAGAAATAATAGGAGAATTGAAGAAAAGGATGACAAGAAAATGAAATTACTATAATATGAATATAAGTGATAAGAACTTCAAAGTTTCTCTTATTCTCTCTAGGAAACTTGTACACCAACTAATGAACAATCAAGCCTATTTATAAGCTTCAAAATTGAGGAGAGAATTAGAAGGGACTATGAATGATCAATTGCATCACCCTTTCAATTTCTCATATTGAATGATGAATTGAATCATATTAAGAATCATGAGTAGTGGGGATATGAAAAGTGGATGAACATGATGATGGACATTCATTATTTCATAACAATATGATTTTTTAGAATACTTTAATAATATTAATTGCAATAATTAATTTCCGTCAATTTTGTTCTGACTTTGTTTTCTAATATTTTTCTCTAATTTTAAAATTTTTTATTTTTTTTCTAAATATTATCAATTAAAGACATTTGTTATAAATAGAGTTTTTACCAAATCTTCAAACTTAAATGAATAATGGTACTTGATCAGGGAGTTATTGTAAAAGATCCGTAATTAAAATTTAAACGAGATGTTGATTGAGATATATTAATTTGGTAGAGAGAAGAGGGATATATATTACAAAAGGAAACTAAAAAATAAGATATGTTGCCTTTCTCTGATAAAAGGAATCAAGGATGAACCCTTGTTATGGCTATATAAACAGCCAAAACGTTTGGACCAGTCATCACTGCACCCCAAACAAATTATATTCATCTCACTTTACCCGACAGCAACAGACCAATGGATTCCCAAAGTCACAGTTTCATGTTGTTAACCACTTTGCTGGTCTTAGTTTCCTGTTCAATGGCAGCCAACGCTCCCTCCAAACTAATCCAAGATATTTGCACGCAAGCCGTAAAATTTCAGGCTAAATATGATAACTGTGTCAGTGCTCTTGAATTGGATCCTAAAGCTGCCTCAGCAGATGTCGCCACCCTCGCTAAAATTAGTATAAAGTTAGGAATTTCCAACATAACGGATACCCAAAATTACATAAAGAATTTACTTAAGAATGCCTCAGCTGAATTACAAAAACCCCTCAAAACTTGTTTGTCATGGTACGAGGCTGCCACAAATTCATTCAAAAGTGCATTTTTGGAGCTAACTGAAGATCCTCTTACAGCCAACTATGATAGCAAGATTGCCGGTGATGATGTCCAACTATGTGAAGATGAATTGGCAAGGGAGAAGGCTCAAATTCCAGAAGTTACAACCAGAAGCAACTATGGAAAGCTTTATAGTACGATTTCATTTCTTGTCACAGACCGTCTTTGAGCTGTTTATATATATAGCTCTTTCGTATCTTGAAATAATATGATGATTTAGTACTTAGAATAGGAAACTCTCCCTTGATGGTTTCTACAAAGAATTACATTACATGTCCAATCAGATTCCAGAGAATAAAGGTTTATACTCTTGATGGTTTCTACAAAGAATTACATTACATGTCCAATCAGATTCCAGAGAATAAAGGTTTATACTCAGATTCTATTAATTTGATATGTTCATTGCACTTACTAGCTTATATTATGTGATTTTCAGATGGCTACTAGTAGGTGTTGGATCAATATCAATTTTGTTTTAAAAATAATATTTTGCTGTAATTCATAAAATAATAATGATGATGATGATGTTTTATCACAGGAAAGTTCCTTAACTTAATTTTCCGTATCTTTTAAATGGGGAGATAAAGGATATATTATAAACAATAAAAAGAAAAACCCTAAAACAGAAGTCTATTTCCACCTAAAAATTGTTTTCCATCATGTATCTGCAAATAATTGTAAGTGTTTATTTGACAAGCAAGTTGGAGTATTCTGTATTCTTTATGAGTTTTATTTTTTATTGTTTTACAAAAAAAAAATTAAGTGTCTGACTTACTACATATCCGACGCGAAATATTATGTCTTTAATGTCTATACACATATACAAAAAACTTTTACAATATTAATTAAAAAGACATTTACTTAGTCTAAAATGTAATTTCTTAGAATGATGACAAGTCTACCTCCCAATATATTTTATGCATGTGAGATGTATGTCGCAAGTCAATTGTCGTGTAGGTTTTGTTGCTAAAAAATAAAAAAGAGAGCACATCCTTGAGCGGCGCAGTTCACTAATAACATTGATTACATGTAATAACTGATAAAATCATACTAATACTTCAATAACTATCCATTTTATTGTTTGGGTAAACCTCAATTCTCCCTAGGAAGTAACTAAGCATACCTGGTTTATCAATCAACCCTCTAACTTTCACCATTTTCGGATTAAACCCTTCTCGTTGAACTCCTTTAGGTAAAATATACTCCACCCCCAAAAACAGTCGTTCATAATTAGTTCTTAAGAAAGAAAGCTCCTTGCTCAAAAAACGAAAGACAGAAGAGAGCTCATAATACAAAAAAATTAGCAAGAAATGGCAAAAAATCTGAGCACCCCACAGAGACTAATAATGACCCAGAGCATCAATGATGAGTAAACAGTTAAACACACGCGGAAGAAGAGAGCGAGAGAGAGACTTCACGCAGAAAAGGGGGAAACGGTATCATGCCTTGGAAGTAAGTATTTACACAAAGAATAAAGCCAGAATTACAGATCCAACCATGATGTTTAAGAATATTATGCGAGAACCAAGAAAAAAAAAAGGGCAAAGATACTCTTTATCTTCTCAAACAATTACAAACACGTTCCTATTGACAGCTTTCCGAAGGAAAACGAGTCATAACCCATCTCGCAAAAAGCATAACACAGCCCTCATGCCTAAAAGGAGAGCAGAATTGGAACTCCCCATATGATGATTGTAAGTTCCTAATCCAAGAAAACTTCCTTCAGCGCTATGAAGAGAACATACAAACAATTTACACCCATGTTGATGACGCACTGGGATCAACAGCTAAATGAAATATCCATTCATCATTGGTGTGGCTCCTTAGGGGTGGAGTAGGTTCTGCTTTCAGTGACTGTGGAGTTGGCAAGGACCTCAGGTGCAATTTCCCAGCTCCCACTTCTCCTTCCCCAGCTTGAATGTCTAGTGTCCGATCGAATTGTGGGAGCCCGATGATCTGAACTCAATACTGAGTCCACCTCTGATGTATTATGAGGAGGCCCATTACTCCCTCTGCTGCGTATGTCCTCGTCAATTTCTTCAATATTACGACGCTGAGAGATCTTCAACAAATCTTCACCAATATCTAGGTCATCTTCAACCTTTGAACGTGGATCCCCACCGGAATCTTCTACATCTGTTTCCTGAGTGCTGGGCAACGTGGGCTTTTGCTGTACTTCCTCTTGAACAAAAGCCCTGAAGTTGTTCTTTGAAGGCTTAACCTTAGTGCAAAAGACTTCAAGAAAATTATCAAAACAACCAAGGTCGTACACATTGATCCTGCTGTCAGCTCTGTACCGGAAATTTTCATATGTAGTCTGTATAGAATAGAGTATTAGTTTTGGCTAATACAGGAGAGGGGGGAAATGGAATAATAACAGAAGGGACAAATCACAGCTTTGAGATGCTATAAGGACGTGAAAGCAAATGCAAGCATCCCATCTCATACATACGGAAAAGAACAAGTAAATAAATATAATACCTAGGGAAAAAAATTACTCTGGCCTTCTAATATTTCAGGGGCAAAGTTTGCTTTTTTCTCCACAGAGAGTGCAGGTACATCTCAAACAATTATCACAAAACTAATTATACTTCTAATATTTCAGTACTTCATGCCATTTATTACAAGAAAATGACAATATCCAGTCCATAGTAATTGTAGTAGATGCAAACTAGTATTGCTTTCAATTGATGCTCAAGTCTCTCCAGGTTTATCATTTGATGATCGTGCGTTCTGAATGGCGACATCTTAAAGATTGCAAATATATTTCAATTGAACAGACTGTTGTGACCTCATAAGAAGATAAATGATGAAAGACCATTAAAAAACTCTAGTCTGGCATTTAGACCATTGTTTTGCCACATTTTTTTTTTAATTAAAGAACTTAATTCAATTACGCATATAACTAAAACCAATACATAACATCAGTCTTAAGGAAAACATTTACCTGGTTTGTGCCAATGAGGTACAAATGGAAGCCAGTAAGTCCACCAACAAACCATAGGGCAATAAAACAATAGGCCATTAGAATGACTGATGCAGGAGATTCTTTCATTGCCTTCCAGACTGTGCTTTGGTAATCATCCATCAAAACCTTAATGTACAAGGCTGAAATGGAAAACACGTAGATGCAAAGAAGAGTCGATGAAGAAACGAACATGAAGAAGTAACGGTAGTTGCGCTGCACATACAAAGCATAGTTAGCTTTTTGATGAGGACACTTACATTGGAAGACGAATACCTAAAAAGGCTGAATTAATGTTAACAGGGAAAATACAAAAAAATTAAGTTGAAATGCAGGTTAAGCAGCATACCAGTCCAATGCACTGGCCCACCCAAGGGCAATGATGATCAAATCGCTCCACACAATTGTTACAAATGGAGCAATGGGAGCAGCGGGGAGGACGATAAAGCATGCATGTATCACAATACTTAACCCGAACAGGAATGCCATGAACCATAACTTCTTTTGTCCGCGGGAACTGGAGGCTCGGTGTTTGTCTGCCCCCAACCTCAACTGACACTGAAGAATCATACCGAAACTCCTCTTCCGGCGGATGTGAATTACGTGGAATAATACCCGGGTCCCTGGCCGATGTGAGGAAAAGAAGAACCAACACCTGCCAAAATCAGCCATGGGATTAAATTACACAAAGGCGATGCATAGAGAATTAGCCCGAGCAATCATAAAAAGATACACCACTACACTGCATAATGAATTTACTACAGACTAAACATTTGGGGGACATGATTTCGGGTTTGAGCCATTTCAATGTATTTGATCCAAGAAGGCATACTTCCAAAAGCACCCTATCTGAATTATACACCTTTTGAGAAGAAATTCCCAAAACCCAGAAGCAGCAGCCTCAAGTGCATGGAACCGCAAATATTATTCACTTGCAAACATCCAGAAGATTGTCCAACTTAAAAGTTGCTACCATCAAATTGCAGAACAAGGTCAAGGATTATTTTAATTCGGTTCCCGCAGAAATGTCATTGGAATGATTTATGGTCACCCAGCTTTCACAACTTACGGCCTTCTCATATTGAGCCTGGCACCATCAAGTACATGATTCGCGTTCAGCTGTGGTGCTTCAAAATCCATACCATGGGCTAGAGGAACACGTGCAAATTACTTTCTTTTAAGTTATAAATAATTATTCAACAAAAGATTGTATGAGGCGTCAGAATATTTATGAGAAGACCGTGAATGTCATTGGACACTAATTAGAATATGGTAACCCACCATCTTAGTTGGCATACTACAGCATGCGAAATTCTGTATCAAAGAAATAGCACATTCTGTTCTATAAAATTCCTCTAACAAGAACAATTTTATCAAGCACCAAGGGATTAAGCAAACTTACATATATTGTAAAGATAATAGCTACCACCAGAATCGCATACCCTGCATTATCTGGTGAAAATTCATGGCGAAGATGCCTCGCAACAAACACACAAAAGATTATTACAGGAAGAATGATCAGCAATAAAGTGACAATCAGTGACCTAGCATCAGGTCCAAATATCAATCTCCCCCAAGGATGAACTTCTGTAGAGGATAGACAAGAAAACATCAGATAATGAAAGTTTTACGGCATGATAGTTCTTAAATTTGACCAGGGAATAAAACTTGACAAAGCAAGCAACCCATTATAAGAGAATGTATTCAAGCTTCAAATATCTGGGAATAGCATGTAAACAATCTACGGTTAGCATGTAATTTGAGAATTTTGGGCAATTGGTTTAAGAAAAAATATAAAAAATTCTATAAAGTAATCTAAAACTCCCCTCTTTCAAGCCTGCAAATTGAGTACAGATTGGAGGTCCTAGCATTCCTCCCAAAGAATAACAAGGTTGAACGATCATCTACTTCAGATGCACAGGTACATGTCCAACTCATGTCAAGCAAGATAATTTCAGTGTTGAAGGTCACGAGTTATGTGCTCAATGCTTAATGAATCTATGGACCCACTCATTCATCCTTACCAAGTAATTGCAACTTAAGCAAGTGCTCCCTTATTATTGAAAATTATCAACCAACCAAACCACGGCTTGAGAAATCTCTATCTTATTAGTTAGTGGAGCCATTAATCATACTCCAAACCTCAAAGGCACTAGCAATCCCTCCCAGAAAGGCAACCAATGACGTCAGTGTCGGTAGCCATGCCACAAACAGAACACAAGCACTATTACACATAATTGCAAACCCATAATCCGATCATTAACACTCCCATCAAAATCCTTATACTACAATGCCACCAAGTTCCAAGTTCCGATTCCAACTTAACCAAGCGACCCAACAAGTCCTTTGTATGAATTCTTGTGTCACAACAACTCAAGGGAACACAAGTCCAGAATCTAATAAGGACTACAACACACTCCATGGTTCCATTCTATCCCTTGAAACCATCCCTCAAATTATCAAAAAGATAAGTACCCAATGCCTGAATTAGTACAAACAACACTCAACCATGACAAAAATAAAAGATATATCACCAAAAATGTCCAAATTCCAGTTTCTTATTTCTTTCTTCCTTTTTTTAAGTCGGCTTTAAATGGCCTAAAACTCTATAAAACAGAAAAGCTGCACTAATTTAAACTCAACGCAGCAATAAAACAAAAGTTCAAAATAACTGAAAATCCAAGATTTTCCCAACTTCCTCCTCCATTTTATCAGTTACCAAACAGAGAGCCACTGACACAGTAGCTTTTTAAGCAAAACTCTAAAGCAATCCCTAACAAATAAACTGAAAAATTCAAGAAAAAAACCAAAAATTCTACAACAAACGAAACAAATCTAAACCAAATCCAGTTGCTAAAAACTACTATTTACACAACAAAATTAAAAATCAAAAGATTACACAAAATAAAGCCTTACATTACTTCCTTTCCACACTTCGAACACGCGCTTTGCCATAACAATAATCCACCCGAGTCTCCTCCACTTTTCTTCAACTACTACTAGTACTAGTACAACACAGGCAAAGAGTCGAACCCTTCAAACTTGCTCTTGCTTCTTCTTTTCTCATTTCAAAAATACAAAGAGAAACCCACCAAACTAAATCAATCAATCTCACATGCGTCCTGAGTCTCCTGACCGTACAATACACTCGACTCGGTTATTGAATTTTAAATAAATATTGCCTTTGGGTTGTGGAATGAATTTTTTTTCTCCGCGTTTTTTTTTTTTTTTTTTTTTTGTAAAATTAGAAATGTCTTTTCATTCTTATTTTAAAGTTGTAGCCTTGTAGTACTACTTATATTGAAATTCATAATTCTCAGTGAGGAGGAGGAGGAGGAGGATATACTGGGATGACAAATATATTTTAATTCTTTAATTTCGTATTACGTGGCCTCTTAATTTTACTGCTGCCTTTTCTGATTGGACAGTAAATTACAACCTTACCCTTATCACTTTGTAAAATGAGATTCTTTGAAATTTGCTTAGCAAGTGATAATTTTTTCTGCGAAAAGTACTAATTTGACACTGGCTTCGCTCGTTTTCAAAAGGGGCCAATAATGATGTGGCAAGATATTAATGGTGATGAAATTGACAGTTCACAATTGCGTATTTGAGTTGGTGGGGAATCTTTTAAAAACAGGAACCTTGATGGGGGTAAAAAGGACAAATGAGAATAGTTTTTAATTATGTTGTGACCCTGTGATTATGGATTGATTAACAAATAACAGCCTGGCTAGAAGTGAGAGAGATTCTTTGAGATACCTACAAGTCTGCATCTTTTTTTCTCCAGAACCAGAAGCAGATATTCTTCAGCTTCAGCCCGTGTTTAACTATTTTAATTATGTCATTGCCATTCGTGTTTAAAGAGAGTAATCACTAATCTCTTCCTTTTTTCCACCTTCTAATGTTTTTTTTTTTTTCACTACTGTATTTGCTTTTACTGCCCTTTTTAAATACCATGGACATTATGTAGTGGGGCTGGGGAGAATTCAATTTATAGCCTCCAATATGTTTGCTCTCACTGCCCTTTTTAAACCCAATTAACTTATATTTGGTAATGCATTTGAGGTATCTTTAAGAGTGGTTTTCAAATTATGTTTAGATTGAAAAGTCATTAAATCAATTTTTTTTTAAAGAATTTTTTAATGATTTTATCGTTAAGATGTCTAGACCATAAAAAAACATTAAAGAAAAACATCACTTACAGAAACATTTATATCACCTTACTATGCACACATTTAATTGAAAGTTCTAATTGAAAAGAAAATGTGTCATCAATATTTCTTTAAAATGTCAAAATTGCATAAGAATTATCTTTTGATTGATAACGGGAGTGCAATCCTAATTTTATCTTGTGAATTCCACTTCAGCAGCCCGCAGCATTTTTCTTCCTCGTGTATTTCCCTTTTATATATTGAACTTGTTAGGCAAAGAAAATAAATAATTACGAATAAAAGTCCATATGTTAGGAGGAAAAAAAATCGGGGTGCGCACTAATAAAAGCGAACGAGGACTTGTTCCAAAACGAAGCGTTCTAGTTTAAAGGGACTAATTACTGACCTCCACTCCCATTTTTGGGGCATTCAATTAATTGCCTCCAGTATGCAGAAAAAAAAATAGTTGAAAAGCAGATATGTGTACCAGAATTTCTTAAAATGTCAAAGTTGCTCAAGGATTGTCTTTTCATAGATCTTAGTGCAATCCTCACTTATCTTGTGATTTGTGAATATCCACTTTATTATAGAGAGAGAGAGAGAGAGAGCCTGCAGCATTTTTTCTTCCACTTGTGTGTCCATTTATATATGTACTGATATTTTGGAACCGGCCTCATTTGTCTTTATTAGTTCGCCGGATGTTATTTTTCCTCTATCAAATTGACTTAGTCGTAATTATTTATTTTCATTGTTTAAAGAAGTTTTTTTTTTCCACTAAGCTATTGTTAAGTTGGTATTAATATTACCTCTTCCATCAAAAGATTTTGGAATCCAATCTTTCATATGCGTATTAAAAAAAAAACTCTCTTGGTTATAGATTTTATTATATTTTAATTACGGTACTCTTAAGCAAGCAAGGGATTTATGAATTGGCAAATCCAGGCTAAACATAAAACGAACAATCAAACGTTAATCGTGCTTTTCTACAAGATTATCAATTCTTTCGAACAATAACCGTGCTATTCAACTTTGGGGAGAAAAAAACTAGACCGAGAACGTGACATGACGATTTTAAGCATAGACTAAGTCCTAACGTCCGCAAATTAGGCCAACTACCTTTCCACTTCTTAATTCTTATAAAAAAACCCCCCACGTAAAAGGCCTGTTTGAATTTTCAAATAAACTCAACATTCAAATAAATTTCTAATGTGCCTTCGAGGATAAAATGTATTGGTTGCCACAAACAAACAATTTTTGAATAAATTATTTAGAATAAATAATCATTGAAGAAACTATTTGTGCTTTTACCAAAAGTATACAGAGATTTGGTACAATTTAATTTTTTTTTTAAAAAAAAGGATGGAAACCTAAGACAAATTAAAAGAATGATTAATTTGTACCTCTAATTTTGCCTATAAACTCTTTGCGTTTTCACCCATAGTATGGAGACTTAATACATTTTACTCTCCTTCAGTTGTTTTTTTTTTTTTCCTTCAAAAAATTTATGGAATAACAAAAAGCATACGATTTTCTTTCTTTCGGTTTTAATTATAGGGATATTCTTGAACTGATGGAAACTAAATGTCTTCCACACTAGTAATCAAATGGAATAATAAAGTGATTGGTGAATATGTGTGTTTAGCAACCTCACAAGATAGGTTCCGTGGACAAAGAAGTTTGATCTTTGTTTCAAAGTTGAAATCTGATAATAAATATCCATGAAAATTTATTATTCTAAATGTTTGGGGTGTTTTTTTTTAAATTATAAAGAGCAAAAAAAAAAAAAAAAAAAAAAACTAATATCGATTCATTCACAAACTCATCTGAGTAAACTCCTCACCCTGTAACACAGTCACCATATCAGTATAGTTTCATTCTTGAGTTGAAAGCCCACTGTATTCATTATGCCGGCTAACACGTGTAAATCTGTTTTTGGTCGAGTCTTTGACAAACTTTCCACATATAAGTGTATGTACTTCCCTGTTTAAAAAAGTCAAAGAAGAGAATGATCGTACTTGCCAGCAAGCTAAGTCTCCGAAACCGCACGTCACAGGTTTGGTAACAAGTGCATGCTGATGTAGGTCAAGCAACTTGCCGAATGTGCTCCCCCTTCCATATAATTAATCAATTACTCATTAAAGTTTTCTCATAATCTTGTAATGTTGCATAATTCATTCATGCCGAATAAAATCACAATAATTACAAATTTTATAATTAAATACGGGTGGCAGGATAAAGCAAAATATACCGACCTTCAAACTCAAATCAATATCTTAACCAAACTTTACTGTTCAACATGCTAAACTTATACAACATGTGTATGATCATATTGACCACGGCATAGTGTGAATTGGCTTTAACAGCATATTTACCCATTGACATTTCTGACATGAAATAAGCAAGTAAAAAAGACGGCCACTGAAACACATGCATAGCCCTTATCTTCGAATCCATGTCTTTTTTTCGGGTACATGAAGGGGCTATCAAGCCAAAATAATATGGATTTCAGATCACTGGGAGCTACACAAAGTTACAGGGTAGGAAATGCTCATATTACCAGCCATTTAGATCATTGGGAGCTATATATATCACTCCAAAACTCACACACTACGTGAAATATTTTCATCATCTTTTCTCAAAAATAATTTTAGTTACGAGGGTTTTTGTTTTAAAGTTCTATAATGTAATTCAATTTAATCACGAACTTGTTTGAAGAAATCTTTAACCATTAAATATTGTATTTTAAAATAAATAAATTGGACATTGAATAAATATGCGTAAAGAACACACATATAGAAAGATATATCATAAAAGATTTATTATACAAAGAGGAAATAACTATTGTGTATACACAATAGTTATTTTTTGAAGTATTTTAAAATTTTTCTCAACTTTTAAATAATAACTAATGCAAAAAAAAAAAAAAAAATCATAGAAAGATATATCATAAAAGATTTATTATACAAAGAGGAAATAACTATTGTGTATACACAATAGTTATTTTTTGAAGTATTTTAAAATTTTTCTCAACTTTTAAATAATAACTAATGCAAAAAAAAAAAAAAAAAATCATAGAAAGATATATCATAAAAGATTTATTATACAAAGAGGAAATAACTATTGTGTATACACAATAGTTATTTTTTGAAGTATTTTAAAATTTCTCTCAACTTTTAAATAATAACTAATGCAAAAAAAAAAAAAAAAAAAAAAAAAAAAACCAACGCATTTGATTTTTTCAGTGAGATATTAATGCATCCCAAAACCTTTATTTTAAAGAAAAAAAAAGTACATGAACACACAAATGCATATGATTCCAATCAGCTCTTAAAATTTTTAAAAGCGAATTTTTTTTTTAATTATTATTATTAAACAGCACCGGTCGCTCAACCTGGAACCTGGGAATAACCAAACCAATTGAAATCGTAGGACCAACTCTGTAGGGACATAATTGAATAAATCTCAAAATACCGTGTGCCAAATAAAGTTTACCTTCACTATGAACTCCTTCACATCTTCCGCTGCAAACAGTTAATATAACAAACCCACCCCACCACACCCACCCACCCACCCCCTAACAAACAAAACACAAAAGAAACAACACACGCACACACACCAACAACACCGGCGGAAGCCCTTTATTTTTAAAACCGATTTTTTTATTTATTTAAACTGCACCGAGTCGCTCAACCTGGAACCTAGGATTAACCAAAACAATTGAAATAGTAGTACCAACTCTGTAGGGACATAATTGAATAAATCTCAAAATACTGTGTCCCAAATAAACTTTTACCTTCACGATGAAATCCTCCACATCGTCCGCTACAAACAGTTATTATAACCATCTAAAATAACCCCGCCCGCCTGCCCCCCAAACCCCACCCACCTACCCGCACACACACAAAAAAAAAAAAAAAAAAAAGTAACAAGAAAACCTACCCCCATTCCCCACAGTTTCATTTCAATCAATTTTCGCGGGTTTCCAAAGAAGCAGACTTGAACGAGAAAGCAAGAGTGTGACTTCGACTTGCATGGAAAATCTGGGGTGCCAGGTGTTTGAAGGAAGCATTGTAAGGATTTCTGAAACTTCAATTTTTTGTTCTCTTTGAGTTTTCAATCTGAACACATTGTTAATTTTCTTAGTTTCTGGTTTAAATCAGTGGGTCTGTTTGGTTCGTTTCGAATTCGGTTTGAATTACGATTTTATTTTTCTCTTTGGGAATTGAATTTTGCTAATTCAGTAGGTCTCTGTTTGGTTACTGGGAAAAGGAGGACAAATAGGTGCAATTGGGCTCTTGGGTATTATATTGCTCTTTCTTTAAAAATTTTTAGAATTTTACTTCATTTTGGAAGCAATCGAGTGGAGATTGAATGGAACAGTGAATGATTGCATTGGGAGCAAAAGAATAGTTTCCCTGTTGGATTATTAGCTTACTTTATACAACAAGTGATTGAGACATTAGGTAACCTATCAGAGTGAAATGCGGGATCCAGTTCTTTGGAGACGGCATTAACTGTTTTGTTCTTATTTCTGTGCTGGATTCTGTACTTCTAAAGCATATTATTAGTTACGAGGCAGCCGGTTATTGCTATCAAATTATTGTCCTGTTTTCTTTCTGCAGCTGATTGTATCACAACATCATTCATTGCATATTTTAACTTTTAAATGACCGGATACTGTTTCTGGCACTACATGAATGTTCTGTGTCCCAAGTGCGTGTGCACATGCAACACACACTTGTATCTGCGAGTAATTTGTTATTAGTAAACACTGGCATCAGCACTAAATACAAAGAATTTAAGCCCCGGTTGTTTTATTTCTTTCACTGCTGTTAAAGCACCTGGAGAATATGAGATTGACAAAATGGTAGAATTTAAACTTAGTATTTGAATTTCTTTTATACGTGCTTTAAGGAATTGACCATACCTCAGATTCTACAAAGTTCATGGGTTGGGCTCTGATTGAACTTTTATCTGTCGCACAACTGAACATGCAATCACTAACTCACGAGTGATTTCTTATGTGTGGAATATGAACTTGTAATACTGTATAAACTAAGGTAAACAAAAGTACGTTAACTTACAGAAGTTTTTGGATCTTAATAACTATTGAAAGTAGTGATTGTTCTGTTATAGACTAGTTATTGAAAACAGCTTTTTACCTGATCATATATTTGTCTTGTTTTATTATGAGAAGTTATGGCTATATATATGCATCTGAGGACAATGTCTTGTTTGAAGGATCAATGGGCTGAAGAACTGCCACAGTATGAGCATATTGAACGCAATGATTTTTTATATCGAAAGTAAGATGTCATCTTCTTTTTATTTGATTTCACTTTAATGTTCTAATTGCTGAATTCAGTTTTTAGCCACCTATTTTACTTCCATTTTATCTTTACGAATTTGAATGCTGCATCTTATAATTTCAATGATAGGGTTAGAAAATGTACAGATTTGATTGTAATGTGCCTTTGCATTCAAATGTGGAGCTAGGTTTGTGCGTGTGATTTTATCTTAATTTGCAAAGTTCTGTTTCTCCTTTTTTTGCCTCTCTCATGAAATAACATCTACTTCAGCATTATCATAGTATTTTCCTATTTGGTTCCACCTAATAAGATTACTTGTGGAGCATCCGAGCATGTCAAATTCTTCTCCAAATTTAGTTTGCTTACTCATTTTTTATTAGTCTGGTTGGAAATTGTTTTGTTATTGTGAATTTGTACGTTCTGGTTGGGGCCTCACTCTGGGATTCAGGTGCATTTTGTTCACTGAAATCTGTTGATTTGTTTTTCTTGGTTGCTTTTCTAGACATAAGAAACAGAAGGAAGAAGATATTGCCATCTGTGAATGCAAGTTTAATGTCAATGATCCTGACAGTGCATGCGGGGAAAGGTGCCTGAATGTATTAACAAGCACAGAGTGTACACCGGGATATTGCCCATGTGGATTCTATTGCAAGAATCAGGTTACAGCAATACTGCATGTCTGCATCATTTCCATAAACCACAAAAATTACTGCATCCCTGTATTGTTTGGGGTGCATATGTACATAATATACATACTTGTGAAGTTGTTATTTTCTGTCGGTTTAGACTACACATTACAATAATAAAATTTGCACACTTCTTTGCTTATTATAGGCTATTAGCGTTTGATAAGCAGCCTTTTTTTCAAATAATTTTGTTGAGTTGGGTCAATCAAACTTGAAGAGAGAATAATTGTGCAATGCACATATTCACTGTGATTGAGCTTTTCCACTTTCCATCCAATAAGCTTCCCCTTTTCTCCGGGAAATGTGTTAGAATTTCATTTTCAAAATAAATAAAAATAAACTCATATTTCATACAAATCTACTCCTGTTCATAAGCATCACCCTAAGGTGCGACATGCTTATCCACATACTCTCTTTTGCCCTCCTCTTCAATGCCTCTTGTGTCTATTCATGATTTTTAAGGTTTTTTCATAACATCTGAAAGGTTTTCTTAGTTATAAGACAAGTCTCATTGCCGGGAAGTTCATCAATCCAAAGTGCTGGCTAGGCTAGCTTTTGGAGTCATAGGGGCATTATTGATGTCAAATTTGAGTAACTATATGCTCCCTTGCTGCCCTGCTTGAACATTGGCTTTCTCATCAGGGAGGATTTGCATACAACAATATCAAATTCAACTTAAAATTTGAATTATAGCAAAAGAATCATACATCATCATGGCAGTAGTGGGTCTAGATCTAGATCAGTTCTCATGACATTTGTAATAACTCTAGGTCCCTCTTCTGAAAAGTTGCTTTTGGGGTCATTCGGACCCTACTCATATCGGATGTGGCTTATGATTCTTAATTCTTTGCATAAAATCTCGAGAATGGCATCTTCAGGAAGTTTGATGAACCTTTGAGGTTTCTTGTTCAAATATTGCTAAAACTAACCCCCACCCCCTTCTTTTTTTGCTTTTTTTGTTCTGTTTCTGTTTGCTGTTAACAGAGATTTCAGAAGTGTGAGTATGCCAAAACAAAGTTGTTTAAAACCGAAGGCCGTGGGTGGGGTCTTCTCGCTGATGAGGAGATAAAGGTGAGAATGATCGACCTGGGATGACCTTTTGCAATCATTTTTAGAATATATTCCCTTGGGTGGATTCTCTTGTAATTTGTTCTCTTTTTGGAAGATTGGAGATTAGCTGCTTCAAGGCAAAGACAAGAAAGTTCATCTACTTACTAAATATGCATAGAAGTAAAATATATACTTGGTGTGTCCATAATTAGTATTTAATGCATGTCATGGCACCATTTATAATTGAGAGCATAATTTGTCCCTAATATTTCTACCTATATGTTATCATGCAATGGGTGCAGTTATGCTCATTATCAGTCCCAGTGAGTACTCCTTTTCTAATTAATGCAGGCAGGACAGTTTATTATTGAGTACTGTGGAGAGGTAATATCCTGGAGAGAAGCAAAGAAAAGGTCCCAAATTTATGAAAATCAAGGTAGAATGAATTTCATCATAGATATGCCTGGATCACTTTTCAATGGAAGTTAGCTTTATCTTTTCTCATGGCTTGATGCAGGACTCAAAGATGCATTTATCATTTCCCTCAATTCTTGTGAGTCTATTGATGCCACTAAAAAGGGAAGCCTTGCAAGGTTTATAAATCATTCATGGTGAGTATATTAGATCAGAAGATTAATTTTTCTATTTATTTTAGATGTTTCTTGGCAGTCACGTTCTCGTTCTTATATCTTGTTTCGTTTTTAAAACAAATTGTAGCCAACCAAATTGTGAGACACGAAAATGGACTGTTTTGGGGGAAATAAGGGTTGGAATATTCGCAAAGCAAATTATTTCTGTTGGAACTGAACTGGCATATGATTATAATTTTGAATGGTATGGTGGTACCAAAGTTCGATGCCTCTGTCGTGCAGTCAGCTGTTCTGGGTTTCTTGGGGCAAAATCTCGTGGTTTCCAGGTAACCTTTCAAATGGTGAATCTGAACTTGGAGAATTTGACATTGTTTGACGATGTATTTGATTTGAAACAGAAGTTCTAATAGGTAGCGCTTCGTTTTTACAAAATATTGTAGGAAATGTGTTAATAACGTTTTGAATCCATTCTTCCATGAATTTGTTTTTGTTTAGAAATCTCATGTTGCGAGTATTGTTCCTCACCTTATCTATGTTTTTTTTTATTTTGCTTTATTTTGATGAGCATCTATAACGATTTAGTTCTGGATCTTCTGATAAACTATCCTTTCTTCATTTTCAACAGGAGGATACTTATGTGTGGGAAGATGATGATGACAGGTAATGTCTTCTCCTATTTTATGATGCATTATGCAGTAAAATTTTTTTTCATCTTTATTTATCAGGGATTATCATAGTTTTGTTGAATTGTTTTGGCACACATATAGAGGCAGCTATTAGTCTTTGCTCTTCCTAACATTTGAAATCATCTGGGAGGAACTTTCCTTTTATCATTCTCTGCTGATTCAGATGGGAGAATGCATTATCAACCCATCTAACTATTGAGTGTCAACTTAACAAGGACAAGAGTGCTTAGTTCAGTTGGACTTAGCTACTATCCCTCACCTGCATCCAGTAGCAAGTACAGCTGTGCTTCTGCCATCTATGGTTGACCCATAGGTACCAACATTACCATAGTATTACCTAATAATATACAATTCGCAATAGAGCCTAGCCTTGTGTTTTCGCCTACTGGACTTCAATCTTGTCACTGTTCATGTTTACAAGGCATCCTTGTGTGCTTTTGATAGATCTGCTAAACCTTATCAGGAAATCGTAGATAAAATCACAGCTATATTGTTTTGCAACTGGATCTTTCATGCATTAAGGTGGAAATGCTGGTTTAAATGCTAATTTTTTTTGCGTTTTGTTTAATGACTACAAAATTGGGGCTTTTTCCTTCCAAAACTGTGAAAAAATTTTCATGCAGTAGCCTGCAAAGATAAACCAGGACTCATATTCCACCAAAGTGAAGGATTAGCATCAGAAATTTTAAGATTTGAATAAAACAATGATCATGTATACTGCTCTTGAATCTTATGGACATTATGGTGGAACTAAAACCTTTTCATATGTGAATACAATACCCTGGATTTACTGCAAAAAATGTTCTTTGGAAAAGGTGTGCCCTTAAACTGCATCTTTGTGATATGCCATTCATATCCTATGTATGTTGTTACCATAGTTAATTGATTTTTGGATGCAGGTACTCTGTTGAAAAAATTCCATTATATGATTCTGCAGAAGATGATCAACCTTCTTCCAAGTTCCTCAAAATTGCTAACTCTGATTCTGAATACGATATTGGTGGGAAATTTGAATATTCCACTATGATGAATTTTGATGTGGGATCTGAACAACCCTTGGAATCCACTGTTCTTAGTGTTCAACCACTTGATTCATTTCCGATGGAGGTTGTGGTTATGAATTCAGTAAAAGCTGAAGCTAATGAAGAGATGACATTATATTCCCAAGATACTCCACAATCATTTGCACCAAAGAATGCAATGATATCTCGCATCCGAAGTAATAGTGCATGCCGGAATTATCACATTGGATCAGTGCCTGTGCCGAAGAAAGGTTCAAAACAATATTCTACTGGAAAGTTGAAACATTTGACGCAAAAGCAAGTTGATGCAAAGCATGTCACTAAACTCTTAGCAGTAAAAGAAGCTCAAGAGGAAGTGCTCACTTATGAGGTATGGGTGTATTTATATACCGGTACATATATGAATACATGCATGTGTGTCCTTACATTTGTAATTAAACTATTTTGTGCGAGCAGATGTGGAGATACCCAGCCATACATTCATTGTAATGGGTTTAGATTAAATCCAACAAAGCTGATTAATTTTCTCATTAGACTTTGGCCTATTAGCTTGAGCAGACCATGGATAGGTGGTTTACATTAAAAACAAAAGATGGTTAAAAAGTAGCAAGGGCATTTATGGAGTTTTAAAAGGTTGCTAAAATAACACTCTGTGCGTGTGCAGATTTACTAGGGACAAGAAAAGAACTTTATTACTGCAGAAAAAACTATAGGATGCACAATCATATTCAAACCAAAATATATTATATAAAGGCTAAGACGTTGAAACACGGGATGCAAAGTGCTATTAGAGCGAAACTGATGGTTCTTGGGGGGACTTTGTAGAATTGAAACTTCCAAGTCTTCCTTCTTCCTTAATTTTCAAAGCTCATGACTGATTGAAGGACTGAGTGACTTGGGACCTAACCTAGAGACCTCATATTTTTCATGCCATTCATTTTAGAAGTTTTCTCATTCATTAAAATCATAATTGAGAGACATTGCGTTCACCTGCTCTGATCTGAAGAAATTGGCATCTGACCTCAGATATCCTTTTGCTTGTAGAGCTTCAGTGTTAGAAGTAATGCTGCTGTGTTTCATTATTATGTCCTCTCTTTCTCTTTGAGTACCGTATGTGTGTGTGCACGGGCATGTATCAAGGATTGAATTCGATTTCCATCTCTTATGTTTCAGTCTTCTTATTGTGCAGGAAATGAAGAAAGATGCAACTTCCGAACTTTCCTCGTTGTACAATGAAATAAGACCCGTGATTGAAGAGCATGAGAGGGATAGCCAAGACAGTGTTCCTACCACTGTTGCTGAGAAGTGGATACAGGTATGTTGTACGAAATTGAAGGCAGAATTTGACCTTTATTCCTCCATTATCAAGAATATTGCTTGCACTCCACAAAAGACACTTGAACAAGCACGACCTTCTGAAGAACCCGGTAATGATACCGAAGTGAAGTATATAGGATATTGAACATGTTGACAACAGTTTCCTCGAAAAACCTCACAAATTGCTCAGCGAGGGGATCTTCTTGCTCCCCATCCTTGGGAATATACTGTTACTCTTCCGTAGGCATGGATATCAGTCTTTGTTCAGACGGGAAAGATGGCCCTTATCAGTATTTACAGTAAAATGTGTTCGGAAAAGAAAGGTTTTTTCTAGTGAAACTCTGACTCTGTACACGCATATGCGACTCTTGTGGGTCGTGCCAATGGAATCTAGGCACGTAATCTCACTTGCTTCTTTCGTCTTATGCGGCGCTCTTTCTGGATGGGTTCACCGTAAGTCTTCCACAAATGCACTGATGGCCATGGGTGATCAGGACGTGATACCATCTTTGTTGACCGCTCCATTTTTTCTGCAGCACACTGCATGTTCTCATGTTTGTTAATCTACGCTTTTCAAGCTTTGGTAGCTCAAGCATTAGAGTTTGTTGGAATGAACCCAATTTAAAAAATTATTTTCTCGGGTTAGAAAGCACTGCATCAAATTTAACGGAGAGAAAAGAAACTTCATCTCCATTTATGGATTTATAATTAAATGAATCTATTATTAAAAATATATTTAAAAAGATTATTTTCTCGGGTTAAAAGGTACTATATCATTTACTCATCAAATTAAACGTAGAGAAAAGAAACCTCATCTCCATTTATGGATTAATGATTATATGGAACTGTTATTAAAAATATATTGGAATTAGCGCTCATGTTTTACCTTTTTAAATAATTGACAACATTTTGATCATCTCAATTATTGTTCCAGAAGTTCTTCTCATATGATAAAAGTAGTATGCTTTGCACCGGCAATTCAATATTTTTTTTCTTTCATTTACTTATTTCAGGCCATCCTTATCTGTCCACACTTCTTCCTCTATTGGTATAATTTCTAATGATCGTGATATTCTTAAATTAGTTTCCTCACGCCTCTCGGTTAAGTCTGAGGTATTAACTACACCAAATTAGTATATTTATTGATGAAATTTCTCACTGTAAATTTGAATTCGGAACTACAAGGATTGGCCTCAACGATCAGCTTTCGTTCTATAAAAAGAAGATAAATCCAGCTTTCTCAATAATTTTTTTTAAAAAAAAAAGAAGTAGGAAACGATGTTTTTAACATGGATAAATAACAAGCACAAATCAGTTGATTATGAACTAAAAACACAACAATTCTGGTCGAAATTCTCATGCTGATTAAGGTAGGCAATAACAGTGAATGTATTTGACTATTAGTAGCGCATCAAATGATTCGTAGTTGGGTTGGTACTTGGTAAAAACCCAAATAATATTGGTTTAACACTCAAATACTCTCAACTGATTAATTATCAAAACCTTCCATTCAAACCTCGAATTAATCTTACTAATCTATATCATAATCAACGGTCCATCAAGTGGGACCTAATCTGACAATGTACCGTTATGATTCAACCCAACGTCCATCGCACTCTACACAATGCTTCCCCACACCCACCCCACCACCTTCCCTCGTTGACTCGGCGACTTCAAAACCTTGGAAAAAGTTTCTTTAATGGCGGCTCCTGAATCAAAATCTCTCAAAATTCTCTCTTATACACAGAAAAAACCACCACTTTCTCTCTCTAAATGGACGACACTCTCCAAGCAGTCCTCGCCGCCGCTGGCACCTTCTTCTTCATAACGCTGATCTTTGCTTTCATCGTCGTCGTCTGCAAATCTACCAAAAACCACGACCACCAACGACGACGCCGCCGCCACCACCATCAGACCAGAACCGTACCAAACCCGGAGCTCTCTTCCATAACAATCGACGAAAGCGCCTCTTTTGACCCGACTATGAACCAGATCTCCATGGAAGAGCTCAAAGTCTCCACCAAGAACTTCTCCACCGATTTAATCATCGGCGATGGCAGTTTCGGCTTGGTTTATAAAGCTAAACTCTACAACGGCGCTACGGTCGCTATTAAAAAGCTTGACCCGGACGCTTTTCAAGGCTTTCGTGAGTTTCGAGCCGAGATGGAGACTTTAGGCAAGTTACGGCATGAAAATATTGTTAAAATTCTCGGGTATTGTGTTTCGGGTTTGGACCGGGTTTTAATTCTTGAGCTCGTTGAAAGAGGAAGTCTTGACCAGTGGATTCACGACACGTCATCAACTAATAACGAACAGTTTGCTAAGTTTCCGTTACCCTGGGAGACGAGGATTAGGGTCGTTAGAGGTGTGGCCAATGGACTTGCTTATTTGCATGGACTTGATACTCCCATTATTCATAGGGATATTAAGGCTAGTAATGTCTTATTGGATTCTAACTTTGGGGCCCATATCGCTGATTTTGGGCTAGCCCGCAGAATCGATGCTTCGCATTCACATGTATCGACGCAGGTCGCCGGGACTATGGGGTACATGCCGCCGGAGTACAAGGAAGGTGTCACCGGGGCAACAATAAAGGCTGATGTTTACAGTTTTGGGATCTTGATGTTTGAGATTGCGACCGCAGAAAGGCCAAATTTGCCCAAGGTGATGGAGGAGAAGGAGGTGGGATTGATTGAATGGGTTCGGAAAATGCTGGGGCAAAATCGTCATACGGAAATGTTAGATTGTAATATACCGAAGGAGGGGTTGAGTGAAGACGAAGTCAAAGAGTATTTTAGAATTGCTTCTTTGTGTACAGACGAGTTTATGAGAGATAGGCCAGCCATGAGTGAAGTCGTGGATTTGTTGGAAAAACTCTCAACGTGAAAACTGTAGTTTGCATTAGTTTTTGTCGTCACCGAATGTGCTATGACGTGCTTATCCCTTGGAGGATACAACATACAAGTGTCGTGCAATTTTGTAATGTTGTCCTTGGTCATACTTGGGTGGAACGATGCCACGAAAGGGATGTGCATAGCTTGTGGACCCATCGTTAGAATGTTAGATGGGTAAGCAATGATTATTTTAATTTGGTATTGCTTTGTCGTATAATTGCTGTTAGAAATTAGATTTCTCCTGGAGTGGGCTAAGCATTTGATTTATAACTTTTACTCATGTGTTTGGCTTGAGGTGCCAAGTCCTTATGTTGCCTTGTAAATTTTCACCAAGTGTAGGCTTTTTAAATGAGAAATGCTCAAGAAAGTTCTTTTGCAATGACGGAAAGGGAATCCTTCCCGACATAAACAATTTTGTAGGGTGTAATTCACGGTCACTAATTTACAGTAAGTTATTGACAAGTTATTGGTTTGGAAATTGGAAACTAGGGGTAGCAAGTCGATCGATATAATAACGATAAGGGCGAGAATAATTTGGAAAGGGATAATTGTCTTTTTTTTTTTTTTAATAGATTATTTGAATTTTTTTTTTTACTCTGTTAATTTTTTAAAAACTATTAATCAAGTTTTTTTTTAATTTCTTTTTTATTAAGTGATGATGTGTTTTATTATTCTAAAATATCAAATTACATTTTTTGTCCTTTTTTCTATTTTTCACTTGAGTATATTAGTTTTTTTAAAATTGTCAATCAATTTTGGTTAACTAATGCAATGTTTGCTACATCTAGGATTCTATTTTCTCTCTTGTTGTTGGAGGAAACTTTCTCTCAAATTATTCTTCCAATTTAAAACTTGACAAAAAGTTAAAAAAATATATATTATTTTTTAACTACAAAATTTCAAGCTAAACTCAATTAGGTTTAGACATGAAAATTAAAGAAAATATAAACTTGAGATTTTTCATCAAGAAGATTCATTACTTATTAGCATTTGAAAGGAAACTTTCATTTAATAAAAAGAGGATATAATTATAATTTGATATTCTAAAAACAAAAAACACGGCATCCGTTAAAAAAAAGATATATATACTTGATTAGTAGTTTTGAAAAAATTAATATACTTAAATAGAAAAGTAGTTTTGAAAAAATTAATATACTTAAATAGAAAAGTTAAAGTTTATGTGCTAAATTGAGAAGGAAAAAAAGGTATTTCTAAATTCATCAATTAAATAATTGTTTTCAAAAAAATTGCCAATACACCATCTACTAATTTGTTATATAATAATTATTAATAATTAATGAATTATGTATTGATAATTGTAAAGAAAAAAACAGTAAAAAAAATAATTTGATTGATGAATTTGGCAACACGAAAAAAAGAAGTAAAATTGTAATTTAGTATTATGAGAACAATGAATACGTTATTAGTTAATGAAGAAAATAACAAATGTAGTGGATTGATTGTTTTTTTAAAAAAAAAATGGTTTATTCAAACAAATTAAAGTTTATATATTTCGAGTTTGAAAAAAAAAATTGATGTGTTTGTAATGCAGTTATTCCAATTTGAAAATGATTTAATGATTCTGATGGCTTTGTCTCGTCGAATATTATAATTACAGACATGGCATAATTATTATGGCTAAATCATGGCATATCCTTTTCATTTTTGTTCTCTAAGTCTGTATACTTTTAGTTCATGGTGCCCATAATAATTAGCTAGGCAATGCAATCGTTGCCAGGCGCAAACGTGGTGCCCATAAAAGAAGGGTGTGCGTTAATTTTAGTATGGAAAGGTAAACTATCACGACATTATAAAGAAAACTAAAAGAATCAAAGTGTTTGAAAAATAGCCATTGTTTATTTACTGTAAATTATAATTTTTTATATTTTTTGGTCTTTGATATGTTTTGAAATTTTTATATTGACTGATATCTTTATTTACTAATACATTTTGGTTTTTGGTGTAAACAGCAAAGAGAAAAAAAGAGAAAGACTAAAGGAAAGAAGGAGTGTTAGCCGATCTTATAAGCCACTTTGGCCGGCCAACTCTATTATATTTTTTTTTATCTTTAAGAGATAAGTTTATTCATTGTGATTTCAAGCTATCAAATAATTGAAAGAGTAAGATTGGAGCCAAAAAATAAGAAAATTTTTTGATTTGATTATGTTTTTTTTTTAATGTGCATTAAAATGATTTTAAGGTTGTAAGAGTGTTTTTTACCCTTATTTCGATCGTTTAAAGGTGTCTCGGGAAAAAATATTATGTCGAAATTAAATTTCTTATGGTCCGAAACTTGATCGGCGATTTTTCGACGAAAATTCCGATGAATTAGAGTTTGTCGAAAGTTGCAAGTTTTTTTTTTTTTTTTTTTTTGAACAATAGCCAAGATCGTTGCATGTCTTGACCGCACGAAGCTAACCAAGCGTGAGCCTCGCCTTTTTTTCCTCATATATATACATGGTCCGTCCCGGCCGCACAGAGCCAACCAAACGCAAGCCCGACCTTTTTTTTTTTTCTTTTTTCCTTCCTATATATGTATTATCATGGAATTATGTATGGAAAGTATAGAAAATAAATTGTTATTTTTTTTAGTTTTATATATAGTTTGAAGATTATATTTTTAAAGATTTTAGCTTAAGCATATATATCCGATTATATTGCTCTTATTGTTTAAAATTTACTCGCTGTAATTGTTTATTTTTCTTATTAAAATTCTCATCAAATTAATTTTTTTATATAATTTTATTTGTTAATAATGAATTTTGGAATAAAATTTTAGACTATCGGTGTTTTATTTTTAAAAAACATTATTACAAACGCACGTACAACAACGCTAAAATTATGTTTTAGATAGTTTGACTCAAATTTTTTTTAAGGAAATTAATAATCAGTTAAAAAAACTCACAAGTTTCATTTGCTTTTTAATATATATTTATTCAGAATTTATCGGAATCAATTTTGTTATAGTTTTTATTTTAATCTATTGACTCAATATATTTCATACAATTCGGATGGGTTTTTTTGTATATTTATTTATTTATTCTATATACTATAAATCCGTTAAGTATAATATGTGAGTGTGTGTGCCTTTAGTTTTGTTATAAATTAACTATACATCCGCACACATAATATCAATTATTTGTTATTTATTTTTTTATATTCTATTTTTTTCAAATAAAGCAAGTTAGATAATATTTTGAAAAAAGCCTCCCAATTATTCAAATATAAATTTTTATGTTAATATTATTAAATATTTTGTTAATAAATATATATAAATCAAATGATTTCACTCAATATATATATATTCGATTTATATTAATCATCGAAATAAAACTTCTACTCACATTACACCATATGAATCGTTAACCCTATATATGTAATGGTTGTTTGACTCACGACATAATGTAGATATTTAACTAGTTATCTCATAAAAGATATTCTTCGCTATTCTCATCAATTGCTCGGAGTGTTTGTTTGCACTCTATTTATTTTATTTTTTTAATACATTAATACATAACGAATTAGTGTAGTATAATCATATCATAATACATAAATAGTAAAATCTTATTTTTGTTGAAGTAAATATACTTATTTTTCTTTGTATAATATTCAAAAATTCTTATTTATATCTAGATTTTTAATTGCATCTCATTTGTTTTTGAATTTTTTTGAAATGTTCAATCTATCTTTCCAAAAAAAAATTATGATGATTTTTTTTTACCGAAATGTCCTTTACTAACATACAAAAAAATAAAAACAAAATGAAAACTCTTAAAACCACTTGACTTGTATGTTTTATTTTTAAAATCTTTAGCTTTTTTTTTTATTTTACATTTCAATCATGGGCATTTCGATAAAAAAAAAAAAAAACTAGTTAGCCGAGAAAAATTAAACATTTTAAATACTTTTATAAACAAATATAATATAATTAAAAACCAAAAGATATGTGAAAAATTTTAAATATTATATAAAGACATGAATATATTTACCTTTTTATTGAGACCAAAAGTTACAAAAAATAAAATAAATTTATGCACGAAATCAAATATGTCGGAATCACTTATGCCGGATTTACATACAAAAGTATTTGGTTATTGGAAAAAAAATCAATATACTTTTAATATTGAATCAAGGTTGTTAAGTTAGATAGTTAAAACATGCATAATTATTATGGCTTCATCCAAAAGATACAAGACTTATAGGGCAAGTTTGATACCTTGTATAAATGCCGCCATTCTCTCCCTAAAACATTCATCGCATACAAACTTGTTCAAAAGATGGAATTTCTAGAAAGAAAGCTCTTGCTAGCACCAAATATCCGTTGGAGTGATCCTGGCTCTTGCTATCTCCAAGAGTTAGCGGATAAAACAAATCGATATCAACAATGTATCTCTTCATAATTTTAATTTTTGTTAATTAAACAGTTAAGAATTTAAATCTTATTATTTTTATTTTTTTAATTAAAAAAATTAAACGTAAGATAGTGTGAATATATGTAAGTTTTGGATTTAAAAATTTTATTAGAAACGATGGATGAAAGAATAATATAAAACCATTTATGAGATTTTAACTATCCGATTAAGTTTTTAAATTAAAATAATTTTTTCACAATAATCAATTAAGACATAAATTGTTTATCGAAAGGGAGATAAGTGAAGGAAAGAAAGAAAAAGTGGTAGAGATAAAGGAATGCATAACCGATTGTGACTACCCTCTTTATCGCTGGATTTTCCCAGTTTAATTTGTAGGCCAGTTCTTCAGCGTTCATAACTCATTAGGTCCCCATCGTTAAAATGTCACGATCAATGTTACTGGGGAGACAAGAACGATACTTGTTTGGAGGGGTTTTAAGCTCTATATAAATCGTACTTAAAAGGCCAGCTCAAAGCCGATTACAAACTTAAAAGGCCTGATTTCAAGTCGGTCTTCCTGCTATCAAACTTCCACTTTGGGCTACGATTCGTCATCTTGGGCTGCAACCCCAAAACAGTA